GTGTGAACCGATTTTGCCCATTTGCAATACCAAACAACTTAGGAAAATGAAGAACATTTTGGGTGAATTTGGTTAAGCTCTATTGCTTCGTTTTATCGTGAGCGTGTTTTACACAGACAGACGGACAGATGGACAGACGGACAGACGGACATAGCTAAATCGATTCAGAATTTGATAAGGACCCAGAATATATATACTTTGTTGGGTCTCAGATGAATATTTCTTGGTGTTACACACGGAATGACAAAGTTATATATACCCTCTATCACCACTGATGGTGGTGGAGGGTATAAAAAAATAAAAATTTTGAAATAAAACAATCAGTCCCCACGACCTTTAAATTGCGGGAAACATTTTTCGGTGAGTTTAGAATTTTTGAAAGTATTTTCGGTTAACAATCTAAGGCGACTTTCCCCTCACAGAAGAAGTAACAATAAGAGAAACACCAACAAAAACATCATAAACAAAGAGCTAAAATAATGAAAGAATGACAACTCAAGAGATTGACACCTGAAACTTTTACAAGTTTTTGTTTTCAAGAACTAATTATGATGATACTTAATGATAATAATGATGCTTATTTCTTCTTTTCATGCATATTTTTCAAGTATTTGAGACAATTAAATCAAAAGAGAATTATGTATTTACATTTTTAAAATAAGCGTAAATAAAAAATGTGTGACTTTTAGCCACACCACTTAAATGAATAAAAATTACTTAGTTTCTGAATTAGATTTTTTAGAGAAACATATTTTGGAATAAATTAAATAATTCAATGGTTACTATAAGATCAATTATAGACCTTTAGTCACTCTTTCTGTCATCAATTTCTTTACGATTTGTTGTCAATATAAAATTTTCGGACAAAATTTTAATTTACAAGATATATCGCTCAATTTAAATCAAGACATTGACAACTCGAATAGCTCATAGAGAATATCAGTCATTTTAAAGCATATTTTAAATATTGAGCAACATTTAAAAATGTTTATAAACATTAAATAGTCTTTTCATTTACCATTTATCAGTGTAGGATAAAAGGTAAAAGTAAATATAAATTTATATGTGGAACTATAACATCATCCACATTCTATAAGATTTCGTTCCCCTTCAAAAACTGTGAGCTCATTCATACATTTTTAACAAAAGCAATGAACAGCTGTTTTATGGAGAATATCTTTAGTATTAAGATACGAGTATAAATGTACAAATTTATATATATTTATAACGGAAGCTGTGAACAGCTGTTTTGTAGAGGATATCTTTAACATTATAAAAAGAGTATAAATGAAAAGCCTAAGGAAAAAGGATTCCACAAAATCAGACACAGACAAACTGTAACGTAACAGATTATGTTGGAAATTATTTTTACAAACTGTTAGTACTTAACGGTAACTCAATGGGTTTACAAATGTTGAAACTGTATAACGGATGAGTGTTCAAAATGCAGATATTTTGAAGAATGTGTGTGTTAAAAGTATAGGTGTAGATGCAAGTTTAGTTATTCATATTTTATTTTTAAGCTAAAAGATGTTTAATTAATTTTAAAAAATACAATAAAATGAATATAAATTATTATTTGAGCACTTGTCATATTTTGGCACTTTTTAGCACGTACCAGTTATTTGGCTCTAAATCATTTTAAATAAATAATAAATTTTTTGAGCAAATGTCGCACTGTAAGCTAATTTTTATACCCACCATCAAAAAAGATGGGGGGTATATTGATATATTGTCATTCCGTTCGTAACACATCGAAATATTGGTCATAGACCCATAAAAGTATATATATTCCGGGTCCTTATTAAATTCTAAGACGATCTAGCCATGTACGTCCGTCTGTCCATCTGTCCGTCCGTCTGTCTGTCCGTCTGTCTGTTGAAATCACGATAGGGACCACACGAGAGCAGCTAGACAGTTGAAATTTTACATAAATATTCTCTATTGTTAAGGTTTGTTCGGTATTGAAATTAGGCATTATCGGTCCACTTTTTCGGATAGCCCCCATACAAGTGGACCTCCAAAAAACAGCTTTAACGGGCATAACTGCTTCAGAAGTACAAGTATATAAGGTCCCCTTCTGAAAATTACTTTAACACTCATTACTGGTCCCAAAATGCAAGTATAGCTATGAAATTCGGTATAAGTATGTTCCTTACGAACCAAAATCTCTCTACTAATTTTTTTTAGGATCGGCCCATAAATGACCCTACCCCCCATATAAGGACCCCTTTAGAAAATGACTTTAACACTCATTACTAGCCCAAAAATTCGAGTATAGCGATGAAATTCAATATAAGTAAGTTTCTTATGAACCAAAACCTTTTAACTAATTTTTTTAGAATCGGCCCATAAATGACCCTACCCTTCATATAAGGTCCCCTCCCGTAAGTTTCTTACGAGCCAAAACCTCTGTACCAATTTTTTTTTTTGGATTGGCCCATAAATGACTCTTCCCCCATATAAGGTCCCCCTCTGAAAATAACTACAATGCTCAATACTGGCTTAAAAATATGAATGTGACGAAAATTGATGCACATAAGTTTAATGCGTGCCGAAATCTCTCCACCAAATTTAGGGAGGATCGGTCCATAATTTACCCTACCGCCCATATAAGGTCCCCTTCAGAAAATTACTTAAACGATCATTACTGGCTTAAAAATATGAGTTATGAAATACGGTTATGAAATTCGCTCCGAATTTCATGCGGAATGTGTCGGTAATTCACAAAAGGTTCCCTTTAGGAACCTTTTTGGTTAATAAAATACGAGTGTTCCTTATTTAAAATACGAGTATAGCGCTGAAATTTTGCATAAACAAGTTCTATATGTAACCTATGTACAAAATTTTATGAGTATCGGTTCATAATTGACGCTCACGATTTAAGAATTGAAATAAAATATTTGTTTTTTAAAAATTAATATTTTGTTAGTTCAAAAGAGCTCGGTCCATAATTGACTTAAGCCATATTCCAAATATCACCCTTTTACGGCATACGGTTTGATGGTGGGTATATGAGATTCGGCACAGCCGAATATAACACTCTTACTTGTTTTAAATATTTTTCAGATAAGTGTTTTTTGCCACTAAAGGATCGGCCATTATTCACAACACCCGCCATTATTCACAACACTCGAAAAATTTGGTATTCAAGTATAAAGTCAGAAAGACAAAAAGATGAAAATGTGGAAAATTGGTGGGTGAAACGACTTTTTTATTTCCATATTCAGAATCAGCACACCAAATAACACAAGAATTAGTGAAAATTATTTAAAAAGTTATTTTCATCGTTGGCCTGTGTGTAGTTTTAGATGGAGGGTATTTTAGATTCGTCATAGACGAATATATCACTCTAACTTGTTGGGTTATTTACTATACATATGTATTTTATAAAGAAAATAAGTCAATTTTTATTATTTTAATATGTATTTCAAATATATTTGATTTTTAATTTTATACACATTTTTAATTATTTTTGTCAAACAAGAATATAATGGGATTTTTTTGGATTTTAAAAAGATAGAATTTATCTCCCAGCTTCACAGTTGCTACCTCAATCATTTTATTAAAATTGTTCCATAAGAGTACAATTTTAATGACAGCGTTCTTGACTTTACAAAATTAACAAGAAAAGGTGTTTAAAGTTAGGGACAAACAAAATAAAACAAAATATTTTTTTTTTCAAAATAAAGTAAAACGAAAACTGAACTAATAGCTGTATATATTAAAGAAAGTAATAAAAATTCTTTTGAATTTTTTTTATTGTTATAGTAACAAGTGTATTCTAATTAATTTCTTGATATATTCCAGACAATCATTGCAATTAGCTGAATTTTATCTTGTTGTTGTCCCTTTAATAAGTAGATGGCAATCAACAAATTAAAAGTGATGTAGACTGCTAATTAAAACTTAAGATTTAAAAATAAAATGGTTTTTCTTGTAAAGATATAAAGTGTTAAAAGAAATTTCAGTAAAAAGTCATGAACGAAAATATTATGGACTTTCTTTAACAATTAAATGACAAACGATGAATAGTTTAAGTCATTACATTAACTAAACAAACTTATAGTACAACATACAGAAACATATACACATTTTCTGAGACTCTTGATGGGTAAATACTAGACTAATAAAAATTCAGCAACAACATTTTCCAAAACTAAAAGGACACCATCTGGCACCGTTAAAATGGGAACATAGAAAAATTTTTAATAAAAATTTAAAGGAGAAAATAATAGTAGACAGTGAAAACAAAAAAAAAAACCAATACATTTTTTTATTATATTTAAAAGTTTAAAAGAATTTCGAACGCAAATGCACAACAAATACCTACGTAAAGAAAAGAAATAAATGGTTCACTCCAGTACAGACAAAAACAAGTAAGAGTGCTGTATTCGGCTGTGCCGAATCTTATATACCCACCGTCAAACCGTAAGCCGTAAAACGAATGTTCCCCTATAAACATCAAGGTGATATTATTCATCAAATTAACTGAAGAGAACTTTATATGAGAGGGTGCACAGAAAAAAATTACGACAAATCAATTGTCATATTAATTACCAAATTCGTAAATACAATTAATTTTTTAATTAAAAAGGCACCAACAACCAATATTATAAATACAAAAAATATATTTGTTATTTAAATTTGTTAACTTTTAACAACATTTTTTAACAACCAATTTGTGAAATAGAATAACATATTTGTTAACAAACAAAAAATTTTTTTAATAATCATGTTTAAAAATTATTTTGTTGGTAGTTAAATTTGTTTTCTTAGTAATATATTTGTAGTAATTTTTTTATTAAAAATGCAATTCATATGTGGTTTTCATTATTTATTAAGAAAAATACACTTTTGATACACTATTAATACTTTCTTAAGTTAATGCTAGAGAATATAAATGTACGTATAGGCAGTCCACTGCAGGGTATTGAAAACAGCCAAAGGTATCCATAAAAATTGTGAGATTTCATTTTTGGAAAAGTTTTGCCCATGGACACATCACTTGAGTGAATTTGATACTTTTAGCGGATGGCATGTTGCTGGTGTTCCATTAAGCTGGTAGATAGGTCGAAAATGTTTACCAGAACCTTAGTGGGTATTTCAAAGCTGACGGGTACTGAACTTTGGCTAAAATATCTTAGACCATTAAGAGTGTCCAACAAAAAGTGTTCCTAGTTGAATATTAAATATTCGATTTTTTTATCCAATAAAAATGTGACTTTTCACTGTTTGAGTTCCCATCTGAGTTATGTGGAAAAAGAGCTGTTTATTTTTATCAGGCCGTATACAAAAAAATGACATCTGAATCGTCCCAGTCTCACAGCTCAGTTGAGAACTCATAAAGTGTAAAAGAAATATAAGTGATACTCTAGGAATCATACCTTTATGATTGATTGAATTCAGTTTTGTAGCCATTATACATATACAAGAAGTTTTGTTTGTGGAAACATCACTTAAGTGATATTGGAAAAGATTTTTCTGTGAAGGATGTTCCAAAGGTTATTATTGTTGTTGATACCTATGGGGTGATATGTTGCTGGTGTTCCTATAACGTATAACAGCATTTCAGATTGGCCTTTTTTACCATATCCTTGGAAGATATTAACGGGCGAGGATAATTTATTGTTGACTAGTATTGAAGGTTTCTTATAGAATCTATGACCATTAAAAGTGTCCAACCAATAGAGTTTCTATTAAAATATACATTATTAAATTGGAATGTCCAATAAAAAGTTTAATTTTTCACTTTCTGTGTTCTCATCTGAGTTACATATGTGAAAAAAGAGCTGTTTTGTCATCACTACATCTGAAAACCTTGAAATTAAAAGGAGTAAGCAGATATGAAGTCCGAACGCATCACAGTTGCACAGGTCAGATAAGAACTCATAACGTACATATAAAATAAGTTAATGTGAATCTTACATAATGACTTACCTTGAAGATTACTCCAATTCAGTTTTAAAGACATAACAATAATTTTATAAAATTTAATGAAAGATTTACGAGAAAATTGTTTTTTTCAGAAAAATATTTTTCATATTTCAAATTGATTTCTTATTTATTTTTGAAATTTCTAAACAACTCATGAAAATTGTCAATATGATAACTTTACAAACATTTTAATAAAAATAATTGTTAATAATTTACTTCCCCATTAACAATTCTATATAATTACTTATTAAAATTTGTAATTTTTTTCTGTGTGAGGTGAATTATTGAACGTTTTTCATAAATTTTTTAAACCGATTTTGGTTCATATAAAACATGTTTACATCGAATATCAATTCCCGACACTTTCCTCATGAAATTCGGTAAGAGTTACGTTCCTATAAAAGTTTCTTAGGTTTTGGCGTTAGAGTATTTTGCTCGTAAGAGATTTACTTATGTCAAATTTCATTGCTATACTTGTATTTTTAAGAAAGTATTGATCGTTAAAGTCGTTTTTTGAGGGGGTCCTTATATGGAGTAGAGTCAATTATGGACCGATCTATATAAAATTTTTATAGAGAGATTTTGGCTCGCATTGGACTTATGTGTGTCGAATTTCATCACTATACTCATATTTTTAAGACAGTAACGTTAAAGACATTTTCTGAAGGGGACCTTATATGGGGCGTAGGGTCAAATTTGGGCCGATCTTCATAAAATATGGGGGAGATATTTTAGTTCCCAAAAAACTTGTTTGCGTTGAATTTCGTTGCTTAACTATCATTTTGAAGGGGAGCTTATATGGGGGTAGTGTCAATTATGGGCCGATTTCCAATAAATTTAGCAGAGATATTTATGTTCCCCTAAAAGTTGTACATGTCGAATTTTGTTGCATTGCATTGTATTTTGAAACAAGTTATGACCGTTATAGTCGTTTTCTGAGAGGGACCATATATGGGGGGTAGGGTCAAATATGGGCCGATCTCCATAAAATATGGGGGACATATTTTTGTTCCTCTAAAACTTGTTTACGTTGAATTTCGTTGTTTAACTATCATTTTGAAACAAGTTATAAGAGTTAAAGTCATTTTCAGAAGGGGAGCTTATGGGCCGATTTCCAAAAAAATTTTGCAGAGATATTTAGGTTCCCTTTAAACTGGTATATGTCGAATTTCGTTGCATTGCAATAATTTTGAAGCAAGTTATGACCGTTATAGTCGTTTTCTGAGAGGTATCTTATATGAGGGTTAGGGTCAATTATGTACCGATTCTCGTAAAATTTGGTAGAGAGATTTTGGCTTATATAAAACTTTTTTATGTAGAATTTCATTGACATACTTATGTTTTTGAACAATCTATGACTGTTTACACTGTTTTTCTTGTATGGGGGCTATGCGAAAACATAGACCGATATAGTCCATTTTCAACACCAAATAACCTACATCAATAAAAAATATTTATGTAAAATTTCAGCTCCTTAGCTTTTCTCGTTCGGACTCTATCGTGCTTTCAACAGGCAGACGGACAGACGAACAGACGGACGGACATGCCTAGATCGTCTTAGATTTTAATAAGGACCCAGAATATATATACTTTTGTGGGTCTGTGACCAATATTTCGATGTGTTACAAACAGAATGACAAAAACAATATACCCCCCATCTTTTTTGATGGTGGGTATAAAAAAACCTCTTATCTATTATTATATTTTTCACCATAATGAAAAGCTCTTGTTCCGAAGAAGGCTTTGTATGTGAGTAGGGATTTAAAAGTGTTGCAATTATTAACTGGTGGAAGATATTTATTTATATAAAAATTTCTTTATACAAACAATTCTACGAACTTATAATACCTTCCCCACTATTGTGGTATATGTTATAAAAACAACATGGAAATAAATTATTTTTCTGTCGCTTCAAAATAATATATGTATATTTCCTTTCTATTTACAAGCATGTGTATTCAATTTGTTGTTAATTTTTTATTAGTTTTCAAAACATAGAAATGCGCAAAATATCATGATGATAAAATGTATTTTTACAAAAACAAAAAAAGCAAAAAAAAAAACTTGACAACTTTAACTCACAAAGCACTTAAAGAAAAAAAAAGACAGATTCTAGCTATAAAATTTATCATTCAAATGCAAAAAGGAAATAAAATTGTTAAGAAAAAACTTTTAAGTAAAAAAAGGGTAGGAGATAAAAGGAAGAAATAAAATAAGAGGCAATAAAACTGCGTTTAGGTATATTATGTCCTTGGGTCACAGTTTAGTTTTATTTTTATTTATTGCTTTGTGAAAATTAAAATGTTAAATAAACCTAAAGCATTGAATTTTAAATAAAGTTTGTTTGTGATACTTTTCGTTTTGATTCTTTATAGAGTGTGGACACTTTGGCGTATGAATAATATATTATTAATTAATATTACGTATAGGGTTTGAGTTCAATACATGCGACATAAACAAGTTTCGGAATACAATTTAAACAGATATAATTGGTTTAGACCGCACATAAAATCCTCTTCAGACTACTATGTGAAAACGTGGACCGATATTGTACAATTCTATAGGAATATTCGTGGAAATGTTCTCCGACCTAAAGTAGTTTTGCAACAGTGTATTACAAACACATTAATTTAATTTATTTAACTAAATCGAGAAGAGCAGAAAATCTGAACATGTTTATAAAGTAAATCATTCGTTTATTTATTAAAGTTATTTATAAAATTGTTAATTAATAATTTCAAACCACATAGTAACAAAAATATGCATACAAATAAAGCATGCACAAACAAACCAAACCCCGAAAACACTTTTAGGGGTAATTGTGTTAAAATGAAGATAAGATTCTAAAGATTTACCACAAACACCCCTAAATGATAAAACAAAAAAACTATAAAAACCTAAAATACCAAAGGATAAAAAAAAAACAAATTAGTAGAATATCTTACTACCAACAAGTATTAAAGAAAATAATTTACTATGTGAACTGTTACCAAAATAGGAAAAAAGGAAACAAAACCAAAGACCAAGCATTTCAAATGCCAAATATCTTTTCACTTTTTTCCATAGTGGCTTGGTGCGAGTAATAGGCATCTTCACACATTTAGAATACGAAGGGAAAATACTGCACAGTTATGTATAACATAAAATAAACTGGCAACAAGCGTGAACAAAAGTTAACGTTAAATATTTAGGGAAAAAATTATTCGAAACAAGCGTTAACAAGCAGCTACAATTTTACATACACGTATACATACACAGTAGTGTATTCAGTAATTTGATGAACATACATACTTATCATATGTGTATGTAAACAGATTAACGAAATAGTGAAATTAAATAAACTTTCCTTATATTTTGACCCACTTGTAATGACCCGGAGCATTAACGTACATGTTTAACCAAGGTTAGGATAGGTAAGGTTAGGTTGATAGGAGGATGTATACTACATCAAATCCGAAGAAATACACCTAGGCTAATATCGGGCATGTTGTGCGCTACTTTTCATGAAAAAAAAAAATTTCACTGAATGTAGTATTTTTGAATGTTCAGAAACTCAGTTTCCTGGACGAAATTTCTAAGAATTTTCCAATCAGTATTCGTCAGGAATGTTATTTCCGGAATTACATCACTTCGAAGATACTTGGATCTAACTTCGACAACAGCTTGACAGTGGCAAAGAAAGTGCTCAAGAGTTTCACTGTCATCTCTACATGAATC